TTCGAATCAAGCTAAGCGTCGCAAAGAATGAGATGAATGTGAGGCAGTGAATGCGCCGGAAGTTATCTAAATCAGAGAGGCACAGAAGTTATTGGATCAATTGAAGCTCTTTGCCTTGGCCAATGCTCGGAGTTTGGGTCGATTATCGGAGTGTACAATTGATTTAAACTGCGTGTTTGTTGATTTCCAACGGAGAGCCAAGCCGAGACAAACGACGACTTACGATTTTGCTAATACATCTATCTACTCTGCAAAGACTTTTTGCAATTCTGTGGGGCACTCGAGTAGCTCCTGGAATTTACCCACTTTTCCGAATTCCCGAGGGGTGCGACATAGCAGGAGATTGACTGTATCAATTGGCAGAGGAGCAAATACATTCCGAGTATTGCGACGGCGAAGGTTAACGCAGTTCACACCGCTAGTCCATGAGAAGATAATACACAAATCTCAAAGAAGTATTTATTGTTTGCTTTATTGTGATTACTTTTCCTGGGTAAAAAGTAGAGGATTGCTTGGAACCCAAAATATCACGTGGTAATTCTAACAAAAGATGTACAAAATTGCTATTGCACGATAACTGAAATCTGTGTGGAAAGAGGCCAACAAAAAGACATACTATGAATAGGGAAAAACCATTTGTTGTCGGAAATCAGACGAAGGCTGAAAGAGAAAACTGAAACCTTAGGAAGGGTGGGGAGTACGTATCAATATGTACACAGTTGTCAGTATAGATCACTTAACAGACGGGGAATGGTCAAGGCACCAGTGATGAACGAAATGTAGGTAGTGGGGGTTGTGAAAGAAGGAAGAATTGTGTAAGGTTTAAGAAGGAAAAAACAAAGTTAGATAAACTTGTAGCATTTCTGTTTCGTGCTCGGGATGCGGGTCTTAAACAGAAGTGAATCCGCTCGATACTGACTGTACAACAGAGGATTGTATCCATACCATGCGGTCAAGTGATTCAGGCACTTCGATCGAGTCTCATAATGCCCCGGTTGATCATGTAGAGTTTTCGCACAATACGGACAAGTAAACGACCAATGTATAGTTGCCTGGAAACAAATATTACAGTGCGCAATGACAACCACAATTCAATAAATCGCGATATTTTGTGAGGAGTTACATTTGACACAGTCAGTAGCGTCTCGCGTGGCCTCTTTCGCCAATTGTAGGTGTTCCACACAGCCGAGTGTGTGCCCAGCTCTAGGGTTATTGTTATTAACTGGCATAGGTAATCAACATGCGAGGTAACATCGGGGCACTGAAAGACGATACAGAACTATTCGTATGAATAGCAACTACAGTCTAAGAACGACAATGAATAGGTTTTTCTCTTCAATTTATAATTACTTGTAAGTAGCAATGTGGGATAGGTGATAGTGATTTGAACTGCACATCCTTCTGGCATCACAATCACGTACAATCCCTAATTGGCTCAGTCAACCGGACTGGACTTGAATTTGGCTCTCATTAGAGCTCGATTGAACGAGCTGGGGATTGTGTGAAGATGAAATCTGAAGGATGATCAGTCTAAATCAAAGAAATGTATGTTGATGGTTTACTTCACAAATAGCGTACGGGCTTTGATCATGGAGTTGTGAAACGGATTAATCGGTGAATTACAGGTTACGATTGAGCAATACAGATGATAGTCTTTCGAATATTACACAATCATGCTAATTGGATAACTGATCACTTCACGTTGCGAAGGTAGCAACTACACTGCGTGGATAAATGATGGTAATAAACAGAAAGGTGAATGCAGATTTGCGAGTGTGCACATTTATTGCTCGTAAAACTATTTAGAAGGTTAACATAACACATGGAGGGGTTTGAACTGACACGGCATAACGTATTAACCGAACGGAAACAAACACAGACGCACTGTGAACATGAGCAAGAAAGGTTGAGTGGGTGTGTTGATGTCTGATCTTACCAGACAATGATGGACACAAAAGAAACTTGCATTGAAATTATCAGCCTTGAATCTCCGTTTACTTGATATTCTTTAATCGCTTCTGGTCATTTTTTGAACTCACATGTTGTGTCGTTGCTGTTGGCCGGGTCGAGGGTCTGGTTCCGTGTTCGAGTCGTGGTTTGAAAGAAAACTACATGACTGTGTTGGGAACAGAGGTCTTCATACATCTCTTTATCGATCACATGTCACACAAGACAAGAGGCAGTATATTTAGGTGAGAGGTAACAATTGACAGATTGAACTATACCGATTCCTGATCTACTAACTGAAGAACAAAGGAAGATAATGAATTGTGTAGAATATTGGACGCAAAACAAAAGCAAAAACCTCGAGATTGTTTGCGCTCACTTTAATCGGTGGTTTTCGGGTGAGATGTGCAACTAGGAAATTCATGGCCAGATCCTCACAGTTGAAATGTCGATCGACCATTTCACGAATTTGGCTTGGCATCTCCCATGTATAAGCGTAGGTGTAATACTACAAATCGGGTGTGCAAAAATTAAAAAAGGAGAAAACAGAGAGTAAAATGACCTTGGGAAAGTATCGATAAATGTGATTTGCTGAAAAAGGACCACTGGCATAAGCCCTTTTGACTCAGTTCAAAGGTTTATGAAACTTATTGTCAAAATAGAAGTTTGCCATATGGTGAAGGTCACTGCTCACGCGCTCACAAGATTCAAATGTCAAAACAGAATTACTTCTGCGTTACTACTCAAGACATTATGCACATTAAGATGTAATATATTACTGAATGACCAAAGTAAAGAGATTCTACGAAGCGTTTACACAAATCAAACATGACTACTTCCGATGACCAAACAGAACGCCCAGATTACTTCACCATTTTCCTCGAATAATCTTCAAAGAAATACAGCGCCGAGAAAAATCTGTTGAAGGATGGAGACCGGGGTAAAGCGTGTCTTTGCTCCATGCATTGCTACACCTTGCTTCACAGCGCCGTTGTTTCTCTCGAAAATACACCCAGTTAAATGGTAGTGACCTAAACCTTAACTTTAGAGAAGTCCAGTCAAATATGCGTCAGGGGAATAAAATTAAACAGTTGCGTTGCAAATGGACTACAAGCCGGGTATATATACATATAGTCTTCACAGGTCGTGTGCTTCCAGGGAAACTTTGTCCAGTCGTTCACATAATACTTATTATGAAATCACCGGTTTGCGGAAAAGCAACAGTAATGAGAGAAAAAGAGTGAGATTGGGGTAAAGAAGAGAACGACGTGGAAAAAAACAATTGGAGGGAACCAAAAGGGCAAGAACAACAATGTTTTGTCACAAGATACTTAGCTATCTTTTGTATTTGTTAATCAAGCTGCGGTAAAAAAGGAAAGCTATTCACAGTAAGGAACGCTGTTCGGAGTAATTCAACGAACAGCTCAGCTGACCTGGTATCAACCAGATTAGCTCCTTTGTTGCTCCTGAATCTCCGTGGGCAGTACCATCTGACGATTCGGCTGAACTTTGTGTTCAGGCTCTGAGGAGAGATAAGGAACTTGATGGGCTTTCTCACACTTTTTCAAAATGTGATAACCCCGCAGAATGTACCATCGACTTGCGGTACAGCATCTGGTATCCTTTTAGACATATTTGTTGCGTTTGACTCAGAGCTGCGGTCTTTGGTTCACTTGACCGCTGCATTCTCATCCAAAATTTATCTAAATGCGGCTTGGGATTTGATGCGTTAAACGTCCTTCTAGTTGACCTCTCTTGCGTGAAATAATTTATCCCATACAACAGTGAAACTTCCTCCTCTTCTAACGTTGACACCGGTGCTTTTACGGGCACCGTTGCTTGTGGATCTGAAGTGGTAGCTGCCCGAGGCATTGGATATCTGATCAATCAGTAGCACTGATGGAGAAAAAGCGGCAAGTCCCAACCGAATGGCATCAAGGCACGGGTAGGTAGCGTCTGCAACGTCAGCTCACGAAGAGCCTCAAGAAAGACCGTGAGAACTGGCGCGCAACAATAGCTAGTGAAATGGAAGTAGCAGCCGCATCAGGGAATCGTCAGAGTGTTCCAAATGATACTCAATACGGGAGGGCAGCGAACTACAGTTAGTGAAACAATCTGCGACAAAAGTGGGCATGCTGTTCACAATAGGGAACAACGGCTTGAC